ACAAGAATAAATTAGATTTTATTATATTCAAATAGAAAACAGTCATTTGAAATTGTAATATTTCACAATGTTACTGTTTTAATGTATTTGTGATTAAATAAATGCAGCTTTGATCACCATAAGAGACTTCTTTCAAAAACACTGAAAAATCTTACCGCACCCAAACTTTTGAAAGGTAGTGCATATCACAATATAGTTATTTTTGTATTAAATGTTTTAAGTATTAAATAAGCCTGTAGTTATGTTTCTTTTGGATAATCTTGTGAAATGTTCTTCCTTTCATTTGCTTATTTTCTCTTTCTAAAAAAATAAGAGAAAGATCATATGACCAAAGCCGGTCTCAGTGATGAGTCCCACATTTTTGGTTTGAAAACAAAAGATTAACAGGACTAAAACTAACATTACAAAAAGGCTTGTTCCAATTCTCCATTGTTGTAAATGAGCTGATATTCACATGCTTGTGATCGCACATCAGTTGAATTCTATAATAACGAGTCAAGTTGTGCCATTGCATGACAACCGTAAACAGCATGCACCCTACTTCACGTTGTACCTAACAAACCCCTCTTAATAATAACTTTATCCTCATTCTGACCAATCATCTGAAAATCATTTGTTTCCTTTGCAGAGGATAAGAGAAGGCAGTATTATTCATCAGATCCAGGTCATCAACGTGGGTGACATGATCGAGTCAATCAACGGGCAGATACTCATTGGCTGCCGCCATTATGAGGTTGCCAAGATGCTGAAGGAATTGCCCAAAGGGAAAACGTTTGTCCTGAAGCTGGTGGAACCTTTGAAGGCATTTGGTAAGTGTTTTTGAATATCCTTTAGCTGACACTGACGGCCACAGTAAATCTGATATGATGAGTTTTTACCCTTTTTTAAAGACATGATCAGTCAGCGGTCGGGAAGCAAGTCAGGCTCTGCGCAGTTAGGAACGGGCAGAGGAACTCTGCGTCTGAGGTCTAAAGGGCCAGCCACCGTAGAGGAACTGGTAAGACTGTTGGGTTAAATATACAGTGAACTCCGATCAGTTCAGTTCATGAGTCAGCAAATAGGTGTTTGCATTTGTGTGATTGGAAAGGTCTAGGCATCTCTAGCTGTGTCTTGTAATATGATACACACTTAAATACATATTTCACAATTCAATATATTGTAATGTTTAACACTATATAATCGGATTGTGATTAATGTATGAGAAAAACCTAGGTCTCATAGAAGCGGCTGTACCCTCACGGAGAAGCACCAGTTTCAGAGTTTGCACTTATTTAGATGACTTTTTTTCATTACTTCATATGTAGCAAATGTGAATGTACCTTAAAAATATGTGGAGTATAGTGAGAATCAATCTTGATGTATGAATGTGTCAGTGAAACCTCATTTTTAATTCCAGCAGTCATAGATAACCTGGAAATATCAGGGAATTTAGAATTCATGGCTAGAAAAATAATAGAAATTACATTTGCATGTATGAAATCAGTTAAATTTTTAAGATAAAAAAAAAAATAGAGCGAAGTGTTTTTATATTTGCACATATACAAATATATTTTATATTTCTTGTTGGGTTCTTCACCTTCATGAAAACTTGTCAAATCACTTTTTACAAACATTTTCTTCATAAAACATGTTTCTTTACAAAGAGACGAATGGCAAGAAGCTGGGAATGATACAGTTATAATGAGACTCCATATATTCATAAACAAACTTCAGTAATGCAAAATGTTACAGATTGGTTTGTGGTTTTCAGTATTCTTACTGATGCTCTCAAGTCTTTCGCAATTCAACCTCATGCTATGCCAGCTAGATACCTTTATCCTGGTGACTAAGCATTTAAGAATACATCACAGACAATCAAACACAATAGCACCCATCATAATAATAATAATCACCTATAAATTTCAGTTAAGCAGGGTAATCCAATGTCTTCATTAATTCTTTTTTTGTGTTGCAGCCGTCAGCATTTGAAGAAAAAGCTATCGAGAAAGTTGATGATCTGTTGGAGAGCTACATGGGCATTAGAGACAGTGAACTTGGTATGTTTCCCTGCATATTACTGTTTTTGTACAGTTGTTGTTTTTTTTAAATGGCGTCTCTAACTCCCACACTCATTTACAGCTGCCACGATGGTGGAGCTCGGCAAGGACAAAAAGAACCCGGATGAGTTTGCTGAAGCTTTGGACGAGACTCTGGGTGATTTCGCATTTCCAGATGAGTTTGTGTTCGATGTGTGGGGTGCCATAGGCGATGCAAAGGTTGGTCGCGTTTAATTCTAGAAACGGCTAAAATGGTAATTCTGTAAAACACTGCTTTAGGAACACTATTGAGATTTATTTTTGTTGATTTTGGGAGCATATGCTGGGATGCTTTTAAGAACGATGGAAACACTTGTAGGCCTCTAACTCTAACTTTTTTTTAAGATGCTGGTGTTATCAAGACACTATGTTGAATGCATTTAAAACTTGTATTTAGATTTGACTAGGTTGAGCCAGATCACTTATATGAAATGTCTTATTTAGTAGGATATTAAGCAAAAGATGCTGACACTCATTGAATTTGCAAGGTATTTACTCCAGGGCCTGTGTTTGGTACCCCTGTGAGGTTACTCTGTTACATACTGTGACTTTCACTTGCACTGTGTTGCCCAACGCTGTATAAATTGCACGGTAAGGCACAGAACACGCAGTGCAGAGATCGAGGCAATGCTGGTTTGCACTGTAGTGACCTCTCTGGTGTGGATCTGACCCGTCCCATGGCAAAATCATGGACCATTTGTCTTATCAACACTACAATGATTCCCTAAAGCATGTACTGTCTTGTTATGTACTCTTGTTCTGTATTATACAAAGGATTTCGAGTTGCTTTGAAGTTGTTGCAATGAACCGTTTCTAAATGACCTCTAGTGCTTTACATTTCCAGTTCTGTGGCTTAGCTCTTATTTTAAAAGAGTAAAAGAAAGGGGGAAAAAAATAAACCATCTGTTTTCATTTTAGTAGTGTGGCAAACTACCACATAATGCCAAACATAAGGAAATTGTTTTCTTTTTTATCAGTAAAATCAGTATTAAGACATGTCATGAAGTATTACAGATAGTGTTTCACCTGTTACAGTATTTATCCTTTAAAGGAGTAGTGGAGGAAATATGAAGGGCTTAAAAGTTGGGCTGGGCGATAGGATAGTTTCAAACAAACCAGAAACAAAAAAGATTCAGAAAGCCATGTTGTGTGTGTGTGTGTGTGTGTGTGTGTGTGTGTATATATTATTTACACATCCCTGAAAGTGACATGATATATTTCACTATAAAACTAGCTCTTTCAGTGCTTTTGCGAACAAGTTTCACAGGGGAATACAATACTTTTGTGAGAGAATGCAACATTTTGCAAATGACCGCAAAAGCATTGAAATATATTTTCTTCTCCTATCTCATATTTTTCCAAATGTTTTAACTTAGTGGCTCCATATGACTGAGTTCACAATGTTTTATTTATATATA